TGCCCCATAATAGTGTAATGCTGTTCGAATGGGTCACATATTAAAAAAGGTGGGCAAGTGGGTGTCGCTCTGATGTACAGTAGGTTACAAGTGGGTCACTGTATAATGGATGATATTAAATTTGAATTCAACGATATAATATCATTGTATAAGAAAAACGATTCTGAGCGGAGACGGTATGTCAGTCTATGTATAAGACATATTATATACATATCTATGGTATTAAACAAAAAATTGACCTATAATAGATACTTATAATAAATTCCAAATTAATCATATCACAATGTCCATTAGGTACTTATAACGCGTTATATATCAACAAAAACCGTGATACTATCATAGATATATAATAGTACACTTTAGAAGTTTCAAGTACCCACGAATAATATTATTCAATCACAACAAAATAACTAAAATAGTTATTCTAGGTTTTTTAATATGTAATTTCGTCCAAATTTGAATTTAAAATGTCTGTAAAAAATAACTGTGTTCATATATTTTTTAGATTTTTTGGTTACAGTATGAACTATTTATGAGAACCTTTGTTTTAAATTTGCAATCCTTAGCTTTAAAAACTGAACATTTTATAATTTATTAATTTCAATGATTGATAATTTTCGAGATTTTGATAAATTTTGTTAAAATTTGATCTTTAAATGCTTATAAAAAAAAACTGTGCCTATGTATTTTTAATATTTTTCAACTGCTATTGTAACAATATATCAGGAGCCTTGTATTAAATTTTTACACTTTTTTGCCCAATAGATAAAACTTTATTGATATTTATAGAAAAAAAAACTAAAAAAAATTGAAAGCTGTAAATGTCCATAAACAGCTCAAAAAGAGTCAAAATATTTTCAAAATTGTATGGTGTATAGGAAATGCTAATATAAACATTCAGTGAAATTTCCATGTATCTACAGTTATTTGTTTTTGAATTACAACAAAATAAGGAAATCGCTACATGGGAAATCGAGTGAATATTCAATGTTGTAAAAATTTGAATTTCAAACGCTCATAAAAATTTAATTTGACTTTCTTATAGACATTTTTCTTTTGATAAAGGTAGATAATCTTATAAGGAATCTTGTGTTTAATTTTCAAATCTTAGATTTAAAAAGAAAAATTTTTATAATTTGCTAATTTTCGTGATTTTTCCATATTTTGTCAATTTTTGAACTTTAAATGATTATAAAAAAAAATTGTGACTAAGGATTTTTAATATTTTTCATCTGCCTTTGAAACAATATAGTAGGAGCCTTCTATTAAATTTTCAAGCTTTCGCAACCAACAAATAAAATTTTATTGATATTTTTAGAAAAAAAACTAAAAAAAAATGGAAAATGAAAATGTCCCTAAACAGTTCAAAATAAATCAAAATATTTTGAAAATGTTATCGTGTATAGAAAATGCAAATATAAACAACCAGTGAAAATTTCATGTATATACGTTCATTTGTTTCAGAGTTACACCAAAAACCAAAATCGATTTTTTGGAAAACCAATTTTGCGTAAAAATTCCCGTTTTTCCTTAATTTTTATGTTGTTTTTCCCGGCGCTTGTGAAAACTACTGGGAAATTTATACTTTTGACCCCCCAAAGTACCAACTAGATTCACTTTCCTATCAGAAAAGCTATTGATGAAGAAAATCCAAGCACTTTTACTGTCCTAAAATGTGATGACAGACACAAAAATAAAAAAAAAAATTAAAAAAAATTAAAAAATTAAAAAAAAACACACATCATTGTAAAATCAATACATTCATCGTTTCACTCAGAATCTAAAAAATGTATATATAGCTAAACGCCTATTTATACCGTATTTCATCTTATAACAATATTACCTGCACATGTTATTATATTCGAAAAAACAACAAAAAACTAACGAATTCTTTGGTTTAATTTTTGACGTCATGACACTCGTTCGATTTATTTCGTGCACAATTCAATTTAAATTAGATCACTTGGACAATATAGGTATTATTATAATATACTATTAAATGTAAAATAGAAATTGTTTTACACGCGGGAGTTGTATAGAATTCGAAAAACAGACACGGAAAATTTTTTTTTTTGGTGGGGGGTTACATTTGCGGTGCATGGCCGGTTTGATCCATATTTACCGGGCCGAAAAAATTCGCCAATCCGCCCCTGGTGTCCACTGTCACCGCGCGTACGTGATATGTTACAAAATAATATAATTATTATATAGATAGGTACTATTAAGCGTTTTTAAAATACACAATTATAATATGATGGTGTTTCGCCAGTTCCGGTTCCGGACACTACCCTCGACATTTCCAATGGTATTATTGCAAGTACAGGCGTTTAAACAGAATTTTTTTAACTGGTTGTTTTAAGTTTAAATTTAAATATATCTTGGGGGTAGGTTCACACACTCTTCTTTGTAGTCATATTAATCTATGATATAGTACCATAATGGCATAATATATAGTAACATATTACGTTCGAGGCGTTCATTATAATAATAAAATATCTATACTTTTTGCATAAAATAAATACGACCTATGGGTGGCGCGGGGGGGGGGGGGGCGTCTCAACACCAAAAAAACCCACCTGCCACCTAGGCCACTGTGTAGGTACGGGAATAAACACATAACATTTGATGTTGATGATATTTCATCTTCGTAGGTAGGTAAAATATAGTTTTAATTTTGCACAATTTTTAAAGCCACGTGTTCGAACTTTGCGCAAAACTCTGTGGTGCGTAATAGCTGTACGCGTCGTGATAAATATATAACATAATTCTGCAGACTTTGTATATGACAGCAGAAACGATATATCCATAAACGAATAGCCACTATTGTATAACATGTGCGAGCAAGCAATAACGAACGGGCAGGAATAGATTATATAAGTTTATAAATGATCGGCATGTGATGTGTAATGAACCGTGTGAGATAAACTGGTAGACGATGAGATATCAATCGCACGACAATAATAATACGCAACGTTGACTGCAGAAATAAAATAGCAAAATCGAATTTATTTTTGAAAATATTCGCTTCGATTTTCACTGTGAATTAAAATAAGTAAGTAGTACACAATAGAATACGAAATATGTTGTATTTTCGTCTTATTAGATTATTATGTTTGAACTGTCTCGAATGAGTATTATTGAATTACCGTTCAAATGATTTGGACATAAATTCGAGTTATGGCGAACATTTTTTTTATATCAATAGTTCACAACTCTTTCAAAAGGAAAAAAAAATATTGAATGCTTATCTGCACAAGCACAAAATATGTAACGTAATGATATTAATTTATAACTACTTCGGTTTTTGAAGTACAAGCACTCAACAACATAGTACACAGTGTATTATAAAACCTTAATGTCACGAGTGGAAAAACCAATCTAATTTTGACCCAGACCTACTACAACTCGTAAATTCCCTGTAAACTCGGGACAATATTTGGCCAGAGCCCGAGGGTACGATCATTTTGTTGGATTTAAACGGTTTTTGTGTAGTGAAGAACGATTCTGCAAAAGCAGCTCATCGCTGAAGGAGCAGGAGGTGGAAAGCTTAGTTGGCGGCAAACAACCGAAATGCTATAAACGGCATTTGCGGCAAACAGTCCGTCAGCCGGTACCCTTCTAAATAGTAATGAAACCACTACCACCGCCACTGCCACCATCGTAGTTACAGAGAAAACTTTGTTTTGAAACAGCTTTTGGCGAAACTGATAAATGACAGTGTTGTTTGACGTTTGTCTTTTAAAACAGTTTTAAGCGCACTAATGCAATATTATTCACTTTCCCCCTCGAGAGCTCTTGTCGTTGATAACTGAAATATTTTGAAAATCAAATTAGGTGTCTTACTGCAAACTATTGCTATTATACGTCACAACTCATATTCATATTAGACCATCTATATTGAAATAATAATATATTTTATTTATGTTAACCACCTATATTTTCGAAATTTTCCGCAGCACTATAATTATTGAAACCTTTGAATAAAATTACACGAGTCAAAGTATATAATTACAAACAATAATATGAATAATGAATTCGCCTTTTAATTTAGTATATCATTGAAATATCACATAGGTACTACCTATATACAATCAAGCACGCAAACTAGCAATCTAAACTCTTATAATACATAAACCTATACCTATATTTAACATTTTAACATATAAAATAACTTTAATTTTATTTTTTTAAAAGCTCCTTTTCTTTTAACTACTTATACATAATAATTACAAATTATTATATTCGCTTAAATACAACTACTATAGGAAAGCATAAACGTGTGCTTAATATGAACATTCCAGAAACTATGTAGTTGACATTTAGTTTTCAGTCCAATTTAATTAACTATACCTATTGAATATTCAAGTTTTAAATAAGCGTATTGAAATACATTTGTATGTAATTGATCAAATTTCAGTTGATAATAATTATGAAATATGAATATAGATGAAAATTACACAGTATTTATTATGACTAGTGTATAATATAAATATAGTTATCATAATATATATGTTAGTAACAATGTAACATGCATAAAAAAAATACATGAATTCAATATCCGATATCTTATTCGACGAATAAGCTTATACCTATAATGTTCTCCTCCGTGTTAACTTAACATTTAAAATAATAATAATTTAATACGCGTTATTGTATATTATATCGATCGCTATGAGGTATACCTATGAGATTGAGTCTATCAGAATTTTTTTCTTTGAGACGTTTCGCGTGAAATTTAATAATACAATATCGATCAATATCCAATAGGTACCTAAGAAGAACGTAAAAGTATCTATATGTATAGTAGATATAATATTATGACGATAAAAACCGGCCTTAAAGCTACGTCATAAATGCAAAACAATACGTTTCAATATACGTATATATACATAATGAGCATAGATACCTATATATATAGTATATATAGTATAATATATTGTTTATAAACAATATACAATATACATACTCGATTAAAATTTGTTGCAGGTAAAACGTATACAATGATCGGATCGCCGGAAGACCCACAAACGTACGGGATCATACCTTGCGCTATATCGTGGCTTTTCAAAGGCATACAGGAGCAGAAGGCGAGGACCGGGGCGCGTTTTTCGGTCCGGGTGTCCGCCGTAGAAGTGTCCGGACCTGCAAGTCCCGTTAAAGACCTACTGGCCGGCCAATCCAACGGTAATTACACTTATATATATATATTATACCATGTATACCATATATACCATACACACACACACACACACACACACACACACACACACACACACACACACACCCCTACGTATGGTTTCCTCTAATATTGTGTACTAAATACAGGGCCCATTTAGACTTTAGAAAACCACCTCTCGGTCCACAAGCGATAACATCTCGGAACCCTTAAAACGACAGAGCCACATTGTGTATATATATATATATATATGCACATATTAAGCTCTTGCAACGTGCACCGTGTATAATGTACCTATATATATACGAACATGCTCACGTTAAATCCAATCCAGCGATGGCAAAAATCCCTCAGAATTTTAATGTCTGGATTATCGGTAAATGGTATTATACCGCGGATACCGCATATACCATGTGGCATGTATGTTTATGTATATATATATATATATATATATATAAATATTATATAAGCGTGGGGAGCGTAGAGTCGGTGTTTTTTTTTTTTATCGCTCAGATGGCGTTCAGAGGGGACGCCGCCGTGGCTGCCGATATAGAAACGGCAAAGGTTGTTTAAAAATTTCGGGTTAGGGATAAAAACTGTTGAAAACAGGCTGAAAAAAAAAAGAAATAGTAATCCTTACGTTAAAGAGCGCGATGGGGGAAAAGAAGTAACACGGATTTACGCCCTTTTTTAAGCGTTTTTCGCGAGATAAGCTTTTCGCCGCAGTCGTTTTGACTGCCATTTGAATATTATACGATTTATACGTCGATACGGGTTTTTATAGTTGAAAACGCCCACCCTGTATAATTTATAATATATATATATATTATATATTGGGTTTGGTTTAAAGAAAACATCAGAGTCCTGGCGGGTAAATCAACTCTGTTAGGTTTGGTTTTTTTTTTCAATCCTTTTTCCACCTCCACCGCTAATACGCACAATCTGTATACATTTCAATCCATCACTATAACGCCGTCGAAAACTTTTGAATTACAAAACGTCACGAACGCTGTCTCGGCAATAAATTATTTAAGTAACGTACAGTGTTGAAGCGTAATATACACACATACGTACTTAACAAAAAAAAAAAAGTTGTTCATCAACTTAATTTTATTATTCTTGACGAATAGGTAATTAGTTATTCCCACACATTTATTTACAAACCAGCAAAGTCTCTCGAAAGTATAATAATTACAATACCTATATAGCTAGTGATATATACATAAAAATATGATTATTTTTTTTATGACGTTAAACGTACTCTGAACACGCGACTGCCGTTGCAGGTTTCCATTCGTGCCTGCGATGCCTGTTTAATAACATTTTATACAATATAATAATATGATATTATTATGTGTCTGGAGTAGGTACTGAAATAATTTAAATGAGAAAACATAATAAAAGCTATTGTGTTTTTATTACCGAAATCGATAGGTGCTCCAAAACGGCGGTTTGTCTCTGCAAACCGAATAACATAATAATGTATAACATTTATACATTACTACAGTGCATATGCATTTAAGATCGTAGAAGTGATTTCGAGAAATTTTGAAACACTCGCAGGAATTTTAATAACTGTTATGACACAAAAAGCAATACACGGAGTACCGCAGTGTGGTATGTGCTTTATTTTATGGATTAAATAAAACAAAAATTGATACGATTTTTTTATTACCACCGTGATTTTAATTTAAATTGTTATAGGTAAATTCTACTTACAAGTTTTACTATTATATGAAAATAATCAGTATCCTTCAAAATATTAATGTAATAATTATTAATAATATTATATTATAGTTTTATTATTATTAATGTATGGATTATATTTTGTACGTATAAATACATCAAAGAGTCTCGTTCATAATAAAACGAAAAATGTTTTGTACTGATTAGAAACTTTCAAAACAATCCTTCCGAGAACTTATATACCAACTATTACCTATGTATCAGTATATCAAAACAACTATTAAGTATTAACGAGTGTTGACAAATATAAGATCAAACAAGTTATATTGAACGATTTCTATTATTATTTGTATCGTACATTTCTTTTCCTACAAAGAATCGGGGCTCTAACTCGGGAAATGAAAAATAACGTGATTTTCTCATAGACAAGTATAATAATAATAATTGGGTATAATACTCAATATCTATTATAATATTATAAAATAATACGTAGAACGGGCTAAATATATTTTAATCATCGAAATATGCTCAAACCTGCGAAATACATCTTTTTTTTTTCCTTAAAAGCACATCATAGATCGACAAACATCCCCATTTTTTACGCAGCCTAGTCAATGCCTATATTATAATATCATACTACGAGCAAACTTAAAATTCCTCTCTCTTTCATATTATTATATGAGTTCTCGCGCGAACCGGTTTCCGAAGCGTCTTGGGGCTGTGGCGCAGCCAAGTCGAGGTCAGATCCAGCGAATAACGATCGTACAGGTGCTGCAGAATATACAGCCAATTTTAGTATTTTGTATTATGCAGATATACGGGTAGGCAAAATATATGTGTGTGAGCTGTGCAGAGACGACGGCACAGGCGGCGGCGGACTTCTCACGTGCCAGCGGCGATCGTATGATATGATGGTAATAATAATAATATACTCGTGCGAGATACGTATAGCTTAGGTATTGATAAATTATACATGCGGCGTGTGTGCACCAAACTCGTGAAAAGTCTCGATCGGTCTCATATGGCGCATGGTCCGCATATAATAATAATAATGATAATAATATGGGTTATCCCTTTGGAGGGTGTTGTGCGTACAGGGTGGGCAAGGCATCGTCTGGGTGTTTTCCCGTAAGTACTTGAAGGACTCGCGGGAAAAATGGAAAGCCGTGAGGGCCACCCTGTGCAGTACACACACGCATACCGCGTAATGAGATATTGACGAAGGCGCCGCCGCCCTCGTGTGAAATATATATATATATATATATATATATATATTATATAGGTATACTATAGCACAATATTATACTCGACTCTCCGACGATCGCGTCTCGCAAAATCTGAAAGTTTCTACATGGTACACGCTCGCACCACACACGAGCGCATAATATTCAAACAGTCCGGGAGGACTTTTAACCGAGTTTCTTCGCGTACTATAATACAATATTATATAGGTAGGTAGGTACGTGTCGGAGGTCCATCGCTTTTGATTAGCGTCTGCACCCCGCGCTCGTCGCCATGCGGCTCCAGCACCTCGTCATCACCTCGCCCACGAGACACATCGTCACGCCGCCGTCCGTCGTCGCATATAATATATCATAATATTATTACACGAGCACACGACAGCAGCTGTTTGCAGCACCTCGTACGGTGCGCATAATAATAATAATAATAACAACACTGCGCGCGTAATACGACTATGGTGGGTACACGACGAAAAGCGGTCCGGTCGCGGGCGACAGGATTATAAATAAGCCGCGATGTGCGAGCTGCAAATAAATAATAATCTTACTTTGTCGCGTCGACAGACGTCGCGGCGGCTGAGGCGGCGGCGACGAATACGACGGCGACGAATGCGAACACGGCGCGGACGAGACGTTTTTATTAAAAAGTTTCCGTGTGCGCAGTGAGGCTCCGCGGCAGACAGACTCGACGTGACCGAACGGCGTGTATTAATCTTGATTTAACGCGAACTCGCTGCAGCTGCTACGCCGCCGGTGTATAATAATATTATTATTATGTAGGCACCTACGTGTTCCAAAGGCCCTTTGAAAAAGCCTCCTTTTCGCGTGAGTCGCCTCTACACACTCTGCCACGATCGTTTTAATAATAATATACGTATAGTCACAGAGGCGTCTCAATGGTTAGGGGGTTATGGTGGGGAGGGGGTGAAGGTGACAGTCCTGCCCCCACCAATATTTGGTAGCTTTTCAAAAAAATTTTATTTTGTAGTTCATTTTTCTTTATTCAAATTAAATGTGCACCTATAAGTGTCATAATCAGTGTTTGAAGCGGCAGTATATCCATAATATCTTAAGTGACGAAAAATATTGTATTGTCTTAGTCACGAATTAACATATACAGATATACAGCTGGATATTTAACGACACCTCGCTATCAATGTTAATTTGAAGTTGGAATGTCCTCAATTCAAATTAGACTAAATTAGTCTCACAGCTTTCTATTGGTCAATCACTGTCGATATATGTATATCCATCCTAATTCATGAATAGTATAAAAATTAACCACTGTCGATTCTCCGTCGAAATGAGTCAAATTTTAAGAAAATTTAGTCATCAACTGAAAAGGTTTTGTTCCGTATCCTGTATACCTTAATTCGTGGTCTCAGACCTCAGTCTAACTATAACGGTTATGTGTAATAACAAATTGTAGGTACGTTCTGACTTCTGACAAGGATCCGTTTTAGTATGTTGTTATTTACAATATTAGAGTAATTGCCATACATTTTAAAAGTTAAGTGTAAGAATATTATTTAGGCAACAAATGCGTTTTTTAATATTTTGATTTTTATAACATTTTGTGATATTATAGAATTAGAAAATAAAATATAAAAAAAACGAATACGCACCGCCAGTGTAAAATAAATTTATATTCTTACTTTTAAATTTTATAACCATACAAGTCCGGCGATGTCGTCAATTGCTACTATGATATTAAAAAAATAATAATAAAACAGCAGAGTGCCTACACAAACTTGATCACTTTGAATGTATGAAAAAAATGTGCCAGGATAATAGTATGTTGTGCATCGTTAGTAAGAAGGGGACATCAACACTTCATATTATACCTACTATACTACACAGGTAGGTACTCTTAAAAATAAAACATATTATGTATTGTATATATCACATATTTTTTTAATAAGCAATTTAAAACAATAATATGACGTTTTGCGGTCTCTCGAGTTTTTCGTCTTCGTCTATAGCCACACACTTTCGTCAGAGGCCCTCCTACCCACCCACAGTTAATACTCATACTGTGCCCTTTTGCCCGCTCGAACTTACACGCTCGGCCCATTAATGTGTAGCTAACGAGATAATATTCTCGCGTTGTTTTCATTAAGCGCGCGTGCACCGAAATCTGCTGAAACTCGCTGAACATAATTATGATACCTACCTACCTATATACATATGTACAACACGTCATATGATACATTATTATCATTATGTAATGTAATAATAAACGGCGGTGACGACAGCAAATCTCGAAACCCCATTTACTCGCAGCGGAGCGCGACTTTTGATTAGGCCGCCGGCACTCGTTTCAATATAATAATAACATGTGCGTATATCATATAGTTTTCAACCCTTTGCCCGCCTCGTTATTTTTTACCCCAAGACTAATATAATATTATGTAGTCAAGAAATGCCTTTTTTTTTAATTATTCTACTGTTTACTTATATATTAAAGTGACAACATTTTTTATATTTTATTTCACAGCGGTAGGTATATTATTCCTACTAATAAAACGGTATAATAACGTGTAAATAAGTTATGCGAGCACTATAATAAAATGAACCCTATCAAAATCCAATTAATATTTAAATTTCTATAACATAAAGCTATCCACGCCGTTTAATTAAAAATGAAATAAAATCATAAAAATTAATTATTTAATGTTTTTTTTTTGCGCGCGAGTAATAAATATTAATACTTAAATAAGAAGACCATAAATACACGAGGAAAATTTGAGATTTTATTCCTTATATATTTTTAATTGCTGGATAGAACCAATTTTAAAATAATATAATATGAATTTGAAATTTGAATAAGTATATTACTTCTTCATTCACTCAATCAATCTTACCAATAAGTTTATAATCATTTTTAACGCAATGCATATATTATATCATATTATAATATTTCAATAATATTGCAGCCGGTAATCAATACCGCTATGTTATTTTTTAGAAATAATTTAATCGATAAAATGTATACAAATAGTTACAGTCATTCACAAATATACAAAAGTAAAAAATCCATTACCATTGTATAGTTTACGAATATTTTTCGCATGTTTATTATATTGAGTAAGCCCCAAAAATTGTATACAGTGAATTTATGTATTTATATATGTGCTAGAACACACACACACACACGTGTATATGTGTGTGCGTGTCTGTGTATATTATTTTTAATGCATATTAGCGAGGATGTAATGTACATATGTTATACGTCTTCCATATAATATCTTTAAACTTTTTCCGACGGAATACGAATATGGTAATACACCGTACGTGACAGTGTACGCGTCCGGGGTTCGTGACTCGTACGAGTTTACATCATAATAATTGGGGAGAGACCACATTCATATCGAATATATGACATTATTATTATCATACACAATATTATAATGCTATACCACCTACGTTTCGCTCGTGACTGAATAAATGTTAAAAAATAATAATAATGAAATTTACAGACGGCGAAGACAATTTGCCAGGCCCCGGAGTGTACTTAAGGGGCGAGGACCCCGTGTTGGGCACACCGATGCAACATTACAGCGAGCTGAGAGCGCAGACCATTGAGAAAGCTGCCTACTATTTGGACGTGGCGCTCAACGTGCGAAATTCCTCCCCAGAGTCGCACATGTTGTACACTTTAAACGTTTACCAATACACCGTACCGACCGGTTCGTCTGCAGGTAACGATGATATTATAAATAATTTTTTTTCTCAAGAAATCGTTATATTGTGTTGATATGAAAAAAAAAATAAATACAAAATCTGTTGATCTTTTAAAATAACCATTGTTATAAGTTGTGGTTTTATAGTTGTTTAAGCACCTACTGTGCGAATCGTTTAAGAAGGATTTTTTTGGTGCAATGTTTGACAAATATATTTTAAATGTAGTATACGCCTTCTATATATAAAAATATGACATGACAACGAAATCACTCTTATAATAATTAGAATTTGAATGTTAAAAATAAATTATTCTCGTCCTTCGGTATGTTAAAAATAATTTACTCCGTACTTTTTATACAAGGCAAAAAATGTACCAACTTTTTTCATGAAAACTATTTTTAAATTAAATAACATAATATTAAATCTGTTTTGTGTAACTTTTGCTTTGGTCAAGTTCTTAAAAAAGTTATTTCATTAAAAATTGAGATTATACTTATATATAGGTACTTACATTGTATAAAAATTTTAATTTCTTGTTTCGTTATGATTTTGGTATGAAGGAAACATATTAAAACAATATGCATAAAAGTATAAAACTAAATTGTATTTCAAAGCCGAAAAGTCTAAATATAATATTTATATTAAATTTGGTGGTTTGTGTTATATTTTTTTTATAAACATGTTCTTAAAATATTATATTAAAATACATTTATTAAATTATAGTTGCTGGAGGTCGTAGCCGGTTGCATCTTTTGGATTTAGGCAGTTGCGAAAGAAGCAAGTCTTCCGGCGGATTGACACTTTCCGGTTTGGGAAACGTACTGCTGGCCATATTTAACGGTCAAAAACATCTACCGCACAGGTTTGTGGTAACCCGAAAATCGCGTGGTTTTACGCGGTCTATTGTGTTATATTTAAAATCATAACTTTCTGGCTGGAGGCTTAGTCTGTATATAATACTTAGGAGACAAAAATATAATAACAAAACATCGTCCCCGAAGATATAATATATTATATCCCAAAATCCTAATATAAGTGAGATATTGCCTCCGAGGGTGGACGGCAGTTCGATAATAATAAAAGGCGTACGTCACGTGGTGGTTTCATATTATAAGGTCGGCGGGGTGACGAAAGTTTCGCTAAGATATTAGGCTATTAGAGTGAAATCCATGGCAAGATTTCCCCTCCGGATAAACCCTCATATAGTGCGCGTTTATTTCATATATACGGGCTTTTATATGTATTCGTTCTAAATCAGAAACACAGGGCCTTACCTTAAACTTTAAAGGGTCGAGACGTTTTTATTGTGCATAAACCCACCCAGAATATATAAGCTACCGGCTACCGGCATACAGTTAACGAATGAAATATTTATTTTTGTTTCGTTTCGTGTTTATAGAGAACAAAAACTCACTCAACTCTTGAAAGAGTGTTTGAACTCGTTGACGTGCCATGCGGCAATGGTCGCTCACGTATCGCCATCCGCTCAACAGTACACGGAAACTTTGTCCGCAGTACAGCTGGCTTCCAGGATACATCGGATGCGCAGACGGCGGTTTAAGGTACCTATATCTAAACGTATAATTTAATATTAATAAATAATAATACTTTATTAATACAAATAAAGGTAGTTACATTTTTTTTTACGAATATCCTTTGCAGAGTTGCTCAACATAATATATAATATAATAATACTTCTATAATATACTTACTGTAATTAACGTCGGAAATCTTGGTTTTTCTTTAGTTTGTCGGCGTGGCTAGCGGATGCGGAACTTCTGGGGACACCGATCCGAAAATTCAAAACGGCGTGGGGTCAACCGAAGTGGAACCTTCCAGCAGCGAACAGTCGGCCGACACGGTGATCTACGTCGGGCCCAGCGAGGAGACCGACGGCGAACACCCTCCCGTCCACATACCCAGCCTGTCGGCGGTGGAAAACCGCTGTCACCCGTTGAACAAATTGCTCCGGGAACCCGGGCAGAGCAAGTCGACACCGTCGTCGCCACAGCGATCGGTGCCGATCAGCGCTGCGGCCAGAGCTCCCGCGGCCAAGGCGGCTGCCAAACCCAACGGCGTGTGCAGCGCACGGTCGTCGCCGGTCCGAAATCCTCGGACTTCGTCGGTCCGGAAAGAGCGGCCCGAGGAGAGGTGGATCGACGGGCCACGCATATCCAAGAGCCGCGCACACGGCGCCCGGGCGCTGTTGATGTCGAAAAACGACGACGGGAAAACGGCCGGCGAGACGTGGATAGACGGTCCGATGCACGGGGCCGGTAGCCAGCACGCCAACGTTTACGGGTTCATGGACTACCACAAGAAGAATATGATAAAAAAATGGGTGGAACACCAAGTGTACCAGGTTACAGACAAACAGAACAGGCACCGTGTAGGGGAGACCAAAGAGTACACGACGTTTAAAACGGACGAGTTGGGCCCCAGAGGGCGGGCCAGCGGTCAAGAAGAAAACGGCGACGAAGAGCCCAAGTGCGATCAGATGTCCGTGGCCACCAGATCCATAATTGAAAACAGCCACCAAGTCAGCAGAGGTAACATATCATAATATTATATCAATATATCATGTATAATAAGTACCTCCCGTATTCGTCATTTTTATTTTGTATTTTTTTTTAACGAATTACCCAATCATTTGACTAAACTTTAACTTTTTAACGATATTTATATCAACTTTTTAATCAGTTTTTGTGATTATGAATTGAAAATTCTTCACAGATTTTCATGTGAAACGTCCTTATAAGGGAGGTTAATCGCATTCCGTATATATTATTATTTAAAAAACTCCATTGGTTTCTTAGTGGTGTCCATTGAACGACTCCGTGGATCAAATTCTGACGAATACAACGAAGAAGACGAAGAAATCGAACTGGAAATCGTCGAAGTCGAAGAACTCGACGAACCCGTCCCCACTCAAGACAGTTGCTTACAGGTACCAAAAAACACTAAACGACAAGCTAATTGATTCGACGTTATTATATTATTTTGTTTTTGTGTTCGATATAGGTGACGGAAGAGGACATCGCGTTTTGTATGGGAGAACTGGAAAATCCATTGCCGGAAGTCGATCAGGAAGAACATCCGTTGAGAATACTCAGTCAAGAAAATATGACTGTAGTGTCTACATTTACGGGTATGCGCTTGTAATTTTTCATCCCCAACCCACATATGTTTATTTTTAGTGAATAATTTTTGACATTTTATTATTTTTTCCGTAGACTCACTGTCGGTCGCTAACGATCTCGATAGGGTGTTTTCGAGACCGGGCGGCAATTCTTTTAGGCAATTCAACCATCACAGGCTTCAGTCGGCACCGCAACACGAACAAAAATCGTCGAAAGGTATGCGTGCAAACTTTAAAATACATATTTTAAAGAACATTGATTATTAATTATTATTACTTTTAAATAATTTTTCTAACTAATGTACTCTGTACCCGCATCAGATCAATTTCGATACGAACAACTGTCTCGATTACACGAGCTGTACAACGGCAAAGTCGGAGTACCCAAACATGTTCCTAACAATTTTAACCACTCGTCCACGTTACCTACGCGCATGCAATCCGCCTCGCTGTCGGACGTTTTCAAAAACGGCACTACGGAAAGCCCGTCCATGAATAACGATTTCACCCATCCGTCGAACGATTTTGATAACAACAGCATCGCCAGCGAACCCGCTTACTTGTTGGTGAGTACGCCTATATATAACACACATCGTATATCGGGTGATCAATTATTTAACGCAAAACTCATTCATTCAAAAACTATCGACGATGTTGAAAATATTTTTATTTACATATTTGAAAACAACTAAAAAAGTTATTATTATTATTATTTTTTTTTGAGTAACATGTGCAATTTTAATTTCTTATTTCAAAGTAGAATATTTTTTTGGAGTACTTAGCGGTGCACAAAAATCGAATTTTTGACGAGCAGTTTATACGATTTATGAGTGTTCAAAGTTTCGATGGCGGAGTGTTAGTAGAGGTACAGGTGTTGAGGAGTACCCCGAAAAACGTTAGTCCACTATACTGCTCGTCTAAACTTTGAATAGGTAGTATATAGGTACAATAGGTACCTATCAATAAGTTTTAAGTATAGTGTAGGTATTACTAATAATTTATTACCTAGTAATAAACTACTTGTTCAAAATTTGGTTTTATAGATCGAAATAGGCACCTACTCTGAATAATAGTCTGTTTTGGATAATTAAATTAAAAATCTATGTTTTCAACAAAAAGAGAACATTATTTTAAAATCTGATGGACATCTTTTTCAAAATAATATGTTGTATTGTTGTTTTTTAACGATTTACAATTATGTATAACGTTATAGTTTTCTAAATGAATGAGTATTTTCGTTAAATGGATCACCCGTACCTTGCACACATATAATAAAACTGCAGTGTGCAATGTGAACGGTGAAAGGTATTTTGATGGTTAATTGACGTTCCTATTTCAGAACGATAATAGTCAATTTTGTCATAACTGTCGAATGAATTTGACGAGCACCGATGACTTGACTAGCAACCTGTGGATGCACTACGGAGAACTGCACACGCTCAGTCGTTTTCACTCGTTCAAACACGTGTGAGTGTCACATTAATTCCGTATCATCGAAACGGCCTTTTAGGTAACACGCCCTATTATATAATAATCTCTTCGTTTTCAGTAGTAAAAATATATCGAGCTTGAGACATCCGGACGGCGCGTCCAATCCAAATTTACAGTCTGAAACGTGCCGGGAGCCCGGAAATGGTGCCGAAGAATCCAAGGACAAGAAAAGTCAAGGCAGCGACGAAGGAGACATCGAAGAAGTACCGTACCCACCGCCTTTGCAATCGGAACTCTTGTCGTTGAGCAGAGACGGGTGGGTGTCGTGGCGTACGCTGCTGCAGTGGCGGAGCGAGGGGTTATGAGTTTTGTTGACATTTTTCTTTTCGTCCGTATAGGTTGGACAGCAAAACCAGAGTGCAATCCGTGTTGAACGGGTTCACACCTTATTCGGGCAGGTTGAACCACAATTACTCATTGAACACCAACAACGGAAAGTCTCACGACCCAGGAGGGAACAACGGTAATAACCCGTCGATCGATATATTATATAATATTATTATCATGTTCACGTCCGATTTGGGCGGCGTGCCCGACTTGAACGTAATAAAAAAACGTATGTTTAACATGTCTCTATATATAGGTCATCGGTTGAAGAACGACCACAACGTCTGGAACGGTGGTAGGACCAGGTTCGAAGACATCAAACAGCTGAAGGAGTTCAACTTGACAAGCAACAAATTGTTCAGCCAACGGTGGTTTGCAGACAAACAGTAAGCGACGACAACCGCAGTACTATACTATTATAATATCGATGCGGCTAATAGAAGCCATATTATAAAAAGTTGTACTTATGTGTCTTATTTTTTATTATTTTTTTATTGAAATCGTCTTACTAGTTTATATATTATTATGAGTGGTGTCGATTTCTAACACTATAAGTCTTAAATCACTATTTTCTACATATTTCGAGTAATACATTTATGTCTGTTCGAATCTAGAAAATAGTAATTTTAGTGCACAAATAAAAAATATAATGACATGTTCTAAAAATTAAGGAAAACGTACCTAAAATGTACATATTTTGAAATATTTATCTTGGCGTAAACATAAAACGCACACAAATAAACTGTCATGGAACCTGTTATTTCTGCAGTGAACAAAAATAAGTTTCAATTATCACAAATCCACGAATGAGGTACAGGAAAATAAAAATTTTAAATGTAGTAGGTAATGTAACAAACTATACCTGTACAACCTACTAAATTAATAAATTTAACTGTATACAATGTTATATGATCAAATAAATTCACAGACAACTAAAAACGAAAAAATCTGGGAACTTGCTCTGCTGTAGACTGCAGTCTAGTACAGTCCTAGTCAGGTGTAGAGTGTATCTCGTCGTTGATTAGTTCACTGTAGTGGATGTATTAAATCTGACTTCGATGATAAATCATAAATCATTGTATACAGATTCTGAGAGAACACCGTAGACTGTCAGCATATATTATTATATAAGGATATATTATTTGTATTGAATATTTATAATGCTACGCTATATGGTTGAACTCATTTTTTCCAAAAACAAATCGCATAAGTTGCATGGTAAATATTATAGTATTAGTATTTTACTATAATAGCTGTCACCAACAAGTACAAAATACCGACTTACGATGTAGGTGGAACGTTGTGAATAGATTCACTTATTAAAGATTAAAATTAATCTAAATATTTTGAATGATTAGATAACTTTTACTGCTCCGAAAGTGATCCCCAACACACAAATGAAACACATCGTTGTAAAATCTCAGAATCTAAAATACGATTTTAAAAAAGTTAGACGGGTCTACTATAAAGTTTAGTGTGTTTGTAACCTAGGTATACAATATACTTTCGGCCATCAAATTATAAACAGAGACGACGTAGTGTCGTTACATGTATTATACGAGCGCGTACGTCGCGTTTATTACACCATTACCATACCTACCAATATCAGGTGATGACGTTAAGTGCTCCTGGTAATAATATGATTTTTTGTCATGTTTTAGAAACCCGAGAGCGAAGAATCTGAACGAAACTGGCAACAGCAATACTGCGGCCACCCATCAGAACAGCAAGTGTGATAGCTAGGAGACGGGTTGGCACGTGTACAGTCAAATCAATTTGATATAATATAATATAGAAAAAGAGATTTTTGTTCGTTTTTACAAAGTATAGTATAATAATATTATACATCATATATTATTATATTATTATTATTATTATTATATTATACGCGAACAGAGCATATAATATAAATAATATTAGTACTCGGAGCGAGTTTAAAATTATATTCTTTACATTTTACACGTTATCAGATTTTTTATGGATGTTAGACGCGTAAAAAGTAAATACGTATAGTGTATACATAATATATAATAAAAAATATTATATTTTTAATAAGCACGTAAACTGCTGTGCTGCCGCCGTCGTCGACGACGTTGTGCATTAGATTCGGGTCGTCACGCCGCACAACACGCGACGTTTCGTTACGATTTTTTAGCAAAACCGATAAAAAAATGTTTAAAAAAAACCCCAAAACTCGCACGCACCGAGTAAGATATTCTACTAATTATTTATTATTATTATTATATTATATTGAATTAGACTCCTTAGATTTTTGTTTTTTCTTTACTACATAATTATTGATGTATTATAATATTTATATATGATGGCTATACATACTTACTTATTGTTTGATAAATATTTTGTACATATCATTTTTTTTCTCATTTGTTACTGTTTTTTTTTTAAATTTATTTATTATTTTTTTAAAGACAAAATTATAGTTGTACAACATGCCTAATTATGTAATAATATTAAAAAAAAGAAAACGATTACGTCGAAATAAATTTCCATGTTTTTATTCCTACGCATATGCCGCAGATAAGTTGTATTTAATATTATGTACCTGTTACTGGTGACAGTACGTCTATCCCCAATACAACAGCTGTTACTGCGGTCGAAGATAATAATATTATAATTTAACGTTTTATGACAAAATCCTAACACACGCGATGGCTGTTGATCTCTTCAAGATCATCGTTGCCTACAAATAAAAAAATATACTGTCGACGGACCGTATTATTGTGTTTGTCGTAGGTACATATATGACGTTGGGTCGTACACGGTACTTAATAGGTAAATATTCGTATATAATCGTATATAATCGTAGAATACAATATTCATAATATAATATTATTATAAACTATAATATTGTGATATTATTATATTATTATTATAATATAGATGGGTACAGAGAAGTCGGACCGGTTTTTACTGCTGTGAGTCGATGTCGATGATTTAGTATTTACACGATTGGTGGGTAAGAGAGGGGGAGGGGGGTGAATACGATTTTAATTAAATCACAATAAGCAAGCGTATATAGATTTTTCGATACTACCGAGTTGTCGCGGTCTCGTATAATATTATAATGTATTCAGTGTGTGTACTTAAACTTGCGTGCACGTACATGCAAAAGTAATTTGCGTGCGTTTTGTTTTAAACAAATATTGGGTGGTTCCTCCGCGTTTTTTTAATAATTCGGCGAAAATACCTATGCGTAACCGAATTTCTCGCTCAAAGGTAGATTAAACGAGTTCTTTGTATCGTCGAATTTATAATGCAAAATGAAATCACATAAAATTTACCGGCAGGAATAGGCGCAATTAGGGGGAGGCGTCTTGTGGAGGGCCACTAATCTTCTAATCATATTTTAGTTTAAAATATCAACTATCGGGGTGTCTGCAGCTGATACAATTCTAGCCCAGAAAAATTAACCCATACTTACTAACAATAATTATACAACAAAAACAATATGTAATACTTTATTGTAAAATGTTGCTCTAAGAAATTAACTGAGCAGTAGAAAATATGACAGCTAGGGAGCTGCGTGCCTGTCTTAGATAGCATTGATTCCTCATAACTCATAAGCATAATTCACAACTTATAAGGGTTACCTACTACCTAGTGGCTAGTATCTATAGTGTTATTGACCAATGACCATGTAAATATCGGCGGTCGCTACCTGAAACCGACTCTATACATTTAATTTCTAAAACCTGCAGATACTATTATAACGTGTTTGCTTTTTTTCTATTTTATTTTCGATAAAGCAACAATAATGATAATGTCTAATCGTGAGGTTCGTACTTGCATCTAAAATGAATTATTTTTGTTAAATTCTATTTCAACTATTAACAACTAAGTTAGTACTTATATATTATAACAGTGGTTTTCAACCTTTTACGTGACCCTTATTTTTTTATGTTTTTTATGCGACCCCTTCAAAGAATTTTTTTTTACTCATCAAAATTTAATTGAATAACTTGCAGATAAAATATTTACTAAGTATTTAATTTTCAATACTTTATGACTGAAATTGTTCAAATATACGTATAGGTACACGATACGAGTGTAAATAAAATCAGATAAAATAAAATACAAGATTACGCTATTCGGTATGTTATTCGGTTATCAAATACCTAATTAACTAAATTTTATTTTTTAATTATTATAGTTTTGTTTGTAAACCCATTACGTTTATTATTTTTCAGGGCGACCCCTAGACCATCATTTACGACCTCTGCAGGTTGAAAACCACTGCTATGTATTAATAGTAAAATATATTTTAACCCACCCCGCAGTTCATCTAAAATCTATGCGCACGAGTCATAACTTGGAAATTAAAACAAAGTACCTACCTATAAAGTTTAGGTACTATATACAAATTGTAGTCTACAATCACTAGGTACCGTAAAATACCTATATTTTTGTATATGATATTTTGTTTTAGTTTAAAATAGAGTATACATATAGTCAAGTATATACGAATATCTAAATTAGGCGTAAATGCTGATTATAACAGTTTATTTAGTATACCTATATACCTAATGTGTGTTTCACTAATTTTATCCCTATAAAATATAGGGACCTACCACCTACCTGACATACCCATTATCTAAGTTTTCTTCAATAACAGCAGCTGTTACATAAAATTATAAATACATATAATAGTGGTCAAGTACTTACACTGTGTACAATAACAAAATTTTAATATATATATATATTACAATATATAGATAAAACGCACGGGACCATATTATTATATATGATTAAAAAATATGTCTTCTCGACGTCGAAACGGGCCACGACGACTACACCGAAATAATAATATTATATTATTATATTATATCCTCGAGGGAAACGCTCGCGGGCCGAAAGGAACTTCGCCGCAGTTTTCCGAAAACGCTTTGTCGTGCACACACAAAACTTTACGTATTATAATGTTCATAGTATTATTATAATATTGTTATTATCTGCATCGTGTTGACCCATTTAAGAGGTATTTCGTTCGTTTCGGAGTCGAACGACAGCAAGTGTGGGTCTGCAACTGTACCTACAGATGATGACTCGCCGTGCATGGCCATTCCACGTGGCTGTTTGCAAAGTGCAAACCAAACACACCGCTGACATTCGTACTTTTCAGTTTTCGTTTATATCAATATAATATTATTATTATTATTACATAGACTACAGTAGACTACGATGATAATAATATTATAACGAAGCCGCGGATTTTTATATAATAAAAAAGTCACAATATGTAATTAATATTAAATAATTGTTGTTATTTTTGCCAAAATACGCATATTGAAAAACATGAGATAGTTAACAAAAAGTATTTATTCGATATTTGAATCAGAAAGACAAATAAAAGTACCTAGATAGAAAAACAAATGAACAAACTGGAACAAGTAGTAGCAAGGTCGGCAATTCGTTTTGAGGGTGCAGCAGCAGGTCTGAGTGATATTATGAAAAAAAATTTTCGAGGCCTAGAAGACCCCCATTTTTTTTATTTAGCAAGTTATTTTAGGTCTACAGACAGACAGACAAATAACGAAAATAAATCGGCATTAAAGTAAAATATTTTAGGTGGTCCAGCTATATTATACCGCGGTCTAGATTCTACTTTATACTCTATAGATTCTGAGTAATATAGGTACGTATGTTATTAGATATGAAATATTATGTATCTTTATATTATTACGATTTACGACGGAATGAACATAATATATTTTCTGCTATTATAATGATTATTTTCAGACACCAGTATACGAAATATTTAACGAAACATAATGACATACCTACTTAATAGTAAAATATTTAAGAAAATGTATTTCCTTCAAAATATGCCAAAATATCTAACAAACAACAATGAATATGACGTATTGGGTTTTATTTTATTTGGAGTGTTATGCAACGTGTTCATTTTTAATCAGAACTAAGAAATCTACATTGAATAAAATCGTGTGTTTACCTACATACAAATCAGCGACCTAATTATTATGCACGCACACACTCTTTTTGGTAGGTACCCACTGGCGGATTAGAAATGGATTTTAAATAGCTAATGCATTTATGCATGTAACTTATGGTCGTTTACCACAGTGTTCTTGTTATTTATTAATTTATTAATAATTAGGTCGTACCTATTAAAAATTAAAAACCTTACAGTATTATAGGTTCTTACTGCATATAGTATACATATTATATTATATACCTACGAGTATCGCTCGTATTCGGGATTTTACGAGTGTTTCCCTCGGGAGTTGGTCCACGGTGTTTTTTTTTCTATATGATGTGTATTTATAATTTATTTTGTATCCTTATGATAGTTATTACCTTTACAGTGATACAATTGTAAAATTTAAATTGATTTAACAGTTAAATAAAAGAATTCAAGTGAAGAAGTTGATTACAATGTGAGACGTCTATTTAAGCCTTTCTGGTCGATATTTAGATGATATTATGGAGAATGTTTAACAAATGTAGGTGATCTTCTACATAGGCATAGTGTTAAATCCTACAAAAAATAGTGTTGACTCCGACAAAACATAGTGTTAACTCCAACTAACGATATTAAAATAATAGGTGCCAGGTGGTAAGTTTTTAAAATAAAGTCAAAATTATTTTTTAAAAAGGTCGACAAGTGAATACCTCTTGTACCTCTGTTGTTTCCTTCCTAGCATACTTATTATAAATTATCAAATTTAAGATTTCCTTAAGTTTAAATCGTTTAATTAATTGAT